TCACATTCAAACACCAGGCTGGTAAGCAAAGCTGCTGTCAGTGCCTGTGGTACTCAGGTTCTCATGCTTTGTTCCTCTCCTGCTCTGCTCGGGCAGGAACAGCTTCATCTGCCGTGGCAGCTCCGTGTGCTGTCACTTGGCTGTGACTGAGCCAGGGCAGATAACAAAGAAATTCTGTTGCATTTTGCTGTGTCTTACACCTTGTTTACACTGTGTACTCGGCACAGTGGTTGTTTGTATACATCTGTGAGATGCAAAGCCAAATTGATGAGGCAGTAGAAATAATCCCTCTATTGTTTACAAAAACAAAAGCAAGCTGCAGCTTGTGCCTGTGCAAGGAAAGTCACTTCTCATTCCGCAGCAGAATGTGACTGATTCCGGCTTTGGGAGGCTGTGCTGCCAGTGTGACTATTTCATAAACTCACAGAATGGTTTGGATTAGAAAGGACCTTAAAGATATCTTGTTCCACCCCCCTGCCATGGACAGGGACACCTCCACCAGACCAGGTTGCTCAGAGCCCCCTCCAGCCTGGACCTGAACACTTCCAGGGATGAAGAGTCCACAACCTCTCTGGGCAACAACATTTGCTCCCGTGTTTGCAAATACTCAGTACAGATTTTTAGATGTGTAATTCCCTTGCCATGATGGTGTGCAGTGCCATCATCGTACAGAATCAGGAACAGAATGCTGGTTTTCATTTATTCAAGTTCTCTTTGAGTTGTTTGGGGTTTTTTTTAACTGCTAAAGCAAGAGAATTAGATGTAAGGCAAGTACCAGACAGATGGAAAGGTCTGGCCCATTAACACTTCCTTTAAAACTTCTCCTTTCATACTGTGATTTCTGACTGATGGTCATAATATACAGAAGCATAATTACTTATTATTTTTAGCATTTGGGAAAAATTAGAGGATTTCGTGGCTGGATGTATCCCCCCACCCAAGTCCTGCATTTATTTTTACTCTGAGTGCCTAGGCTGACTTTTGTTTTTCCTTCCAGCTTATGTTAAATCTTCCTTGGAAACAATCAAATCCCTAATGTACGTCTTCTGTGAGACCTGTTTCTCATAGCTCTATGTTCTGGAGATAACAGCTCTCTTGATTCTTCAGATCCCACTGCCCTCTGTGGCAGACCTGGAGCTCACAGGAGTGTTCATCTTCACCTGGAGACGTGTCCTGCTCTCCTCCCACCCCTCAGCCCTGCAGTCAGTCCCATCACCATCACCTCTCCTCATGCTGCCACAGGAGGCCTTTGCTGTCAACCTGTAATGATTTCCCTTTCCTGTTGCCATAATCCTCCTTTTTTCCCCTCCTTGTTTTCTCCATCTCCCTTTATTTGCTAAATCTCCTTTCATTCTTTGTTCTTTTCAGCCCAGTTTCACTCTTTTATAATCTAAGATCTGTAGAACAAGATTTTTTTTCTTCTTCTAGCACCTGAAGAAACTCTCTTGTGCTTAGGCAAGGATTACTGTAGTTCTGTCTTAGAATTTTAATTCCAGACTACATGGACAAGCCCTGAGATGCCTCTGTTATCTGTTCCTCAAAGCTATACATTAAACAAAACATGCATCTGATCAGTTTAACCTGTAATTAAACATTTTCCTTAAGCAACTGACATCGTGATAACTAATAATTATCATGTGTAGCACCTTTAAAACCTATTATGCATGTTTATGTAAGAACACTATTACCATAATAATAAGATATCATTACCACAAATGTGCATACTGAATGAGCATGTCTTAAAGTAATCATGGATTCCATTAATCATACTTGAAAAATTAAAGTATTTGCTGTCTAATCTCTCAAACACTACTCGAAAGATTTTGGAAACAGCAGGACCTGTTTACTGCAAGTCTCTAATACATGAGATCTCATTTTTGCTTATCTTTCAGCTTGGGAAATCATTAGCTCAGGGACCCTGGGTCTCCCATTGAAAGCATTTCCATGCTCTGATTTTTAGGCTGTTTGCCTTGTTTTTTGTCCAGGGAATGCTCCCACCTTTTCATAAGGCTGATGTGAAATGCACTCGTGAAACTCAGTTCTCCTTCAAATTAGATAATTGCCTTAAAGTAGATGAACTGATAGCTAATGGTAATTCTCTTAGTCCCTTGCACAGGGGGAGGAAAAAAACCCTCAACCTGTTCTTTAAGTGCTCTTTTTTTTTTTTCCATTTAATAGAAGATTGGGAAGTTGGAGAGTGGAATTTTCTGCTTTTAGGTATAAATTTGTCAATAGGTGACAGTTTGACTTTGTCTCTCATATTGAAAAGTTGAGCTCTGCAGATTGTCCATTTTTTTTTTTTCTGATAGAGACCTCAAGAACCAGAGTGAAAGTTGGGAAGAAACATTTGGCCTACTAAGAAATCTGAGGAACTGAAAAGAGACTTTTTCACAGAATCACAGAATATTTTGGGTTGGAAGGGACCTATAAAGGCCATCCAGTCTGACCCCCCTGCAGTGAGCAGGGACAGATACCTGATGTGTCTAAGAGCTAAAAAAACAAACTTATTGCTTGAGAGAGACCATTCTTTTATCTGTCAGTAGGACCACATTGAATTTAGTAGCATCATGTGTGTTGAGCCAAGTGAATATATCACTGTGGTTTTTTTCCCTGACATTTGGCATTAAGTAATCTGGAGCCCAGTAAAGTATTTATTAATGCCAAAAAAACCACATGATGTCATACACCTCCTTAATACTTGATGCAGTTATGGGATATGTTTCTATATCTATAAACTGCATTATAAGAGAGTAGTGAAAGAGGAGGAGAGGATTTTAAGGACTGAGAATATCAAGCAGGGAAAACATGCATGGAAAATCAGAACAGCAGAAATAGGAAAAAGCCAAATAATGCATACAGAATTGGGAAACAAATTGACAGACATGACAGAAATGTGAGGAGAAACAGGACTTTGAAATTTGAATTTTCACTCTGCATGGCAGCAGTGGAACAGGTGGGTGAGACTGAGGCAGTGGGAGCTGTAGGTGTATCACCAGAGGAAATTGTGCCAGAGGGTGTGTTGTGAGTTAGTTGTTCCTGGCTGTCAGTGAAACTAAAGGGAGCCACGTTTTTAAAACTGGGACAAAACAGTGTTCTCTGTCCCAGGGCACATCCAGCTTTGGGAGCTCCTATTGCTGTGGACAGTCAGGGAATAGCACAGGAAAAGGGGCTGTACCTTCAGGTTACTGACAGCTCTCACAGGGGAACGGGACACCTGCACACACACACAGACACAGAGCTGGAGGGGAGGAAGGAGACTGTTTCAAAAGCAAAGCCAAATGCTTTCTGAAAGGGATATAAACTCTGGTGACTCGGGGTATAAATCAGCTTCTCACCAATGTGCTCAGGAAGCAGATTTCCCTGCAAGCCAGTTGTTGTGCTCCCACCTACCTGCAAGGCTCCATGAACTTTTCAATGTATCACTTGGCTTCTTTTCCTTTTTTTTTTAAATGATGGAGCAGGGAGAATGCTTTCTTTGTTCCCAATTAGGTTGGCAATTTCTCAAATCCTCCATAACTTTTCAAGAAAAAAAATCAAGATCTTGACAAAAATAAAATGGATGTAAATTGCCAAAAAGAAAACATCAGAATAATGTTAAGTATGCAGATTTTTAAAATTTGGTACCTGACTTTATAGTAGAGACTGCTAGGATGATGTTATATTTAATTCTTAGCTTTACATTTAAAAATCATAGAAATATAAATTGTTTTCTGTTGCTTCACTTCTGGGAAACTTATTTCTTAGTTTTTTAATCTGTGGGTTGAACTAAGGAAGTTTATTATGTGCTGTTCCAAGATCAGCTTTTAAATGTTGCACTGTCTGTAAAGTGTGTAAGAAGCTGCACTGAATTTCCCTTCCCCCCTTATAAATACAATTCCTTTAGGAGAAAAAAAAATATGGAAGCTTCTACGTTATACTGAGTAATTATGCCCCCTGGGAAATAGAATATAAAGATCTTTAAAATCATTCAACTGAGAGAACAAGCACTTTAACTTTTGCCTCGCAGGAGTCATGTATTACATCCCCAGCTCCTTGCTCCAGTGTCAGTGTGTCGTGCCTTGCAGGTTTGCAGCTTTGGCAGAGGAAATGAAACCCAGTCAGTTACTGCAGAATTTATTGCAGACCTGCTGCTGCAGGAAGTGGTGAAAAGCTGATTGATGGTCTGAGGCAAAACTCTACAACAAGAAACAGGATGTATGTTTGTTATTTTATACCCATTCTCCCCTCTGCCCTCACCACCCTCCATTTCAAGGCACTCTCTTGCTTTTTGGCCTCTGTTTATAAATCCACGATGCCCTTTTCTGGGGAAGCACGTGCTGACTTCCAAACACTCGAGGAAATGGATGGGGCTGCACCAAGGACTGGAAGCTGATGTGGTGTGTCTGCTCTATTAGAGGCGTTGATCTAAATGCTCCTGTTATTCCTGTTGAATTATATTTCAGCTGAATTCCTAGTGAAAGGTAAAGCACATCTACAGAGTGCTGAGCATTTCCTGTGATAATGGGTGCACCAGGCTGGCTGGGAGAGGAGAATGGATCACTGAGATGGCCCCGATCAGCAAGTGCTGCTGGTTCATACGCATTTAACAGACACATCTACAAGGGTAGTAAACCAAAATGATTTTGATGCATATAAACTTAATGCAGCCAGCCACACGTGCTGCCAAAGACAGCAATCCTGGAAAGGTTTGTTCTGAACTGCTCCTCCCTCACTGTGCACTGCTGAAGCACCAAAGCAGCCGCAGCTTTTCTGAAAGTATCACGAAGACTTTCCGTGGGATATTGTCTAACCTTGTGGGCAAAGTTACCCCAAATAATCGTAATTATGAGTACTTTTTATTTTTTTCCCCTCCTGTAGCATCTGCTTTTACCATCAGGACTGAAGAAGCTGTTCTGCACACCAAGCAAATAGTAGAAATGTTTTAAGGTTCACGTTCTCGTTAACGAACGGGAAAGTGCTGTTTGTAAAGTTCAGTAATACATCTTGTTCTTTTGTTAAAGGTCAAAAAAGTTGGCTGCACTCTCCGAGTCCTTGCAGAAAACCACGCTCACCAAGTCCCACATGGGGTTGGAACTGGAGGAGCTGGAAGCAGCAGCAGTGCTGGTACAGGAGGAAGAGAACGCGTTAAAAGCTGCTGGCACAGTTTCCAAGCAACAGCTGCTTTCCTCGGAGTCGGAGACGAGTGACTCTGAAGAATCAAGCAGCACTTCATCATCTGAGACAGAAGGCTCTGATTCAGATGAGCGAGAGTCCTCGACCAGTGAAGATGGGGAAATAAATTCCTTCCAAGGCACACTTGAGGAGGAGAGGACAGCTCCACTTATTGACTGTAATGGACTGAGGCAGGGCACAAACACCTCGGCGCTGGGGGTTAGGGATGGAACAGCAGAGGCTTCTTTGCAATCTGTGTCTCTTCCCGGGAAATTGATAGAGGAATTGGAAATGCAAATGCACTCTGCAATGAGGCTTTCAGAGCAGCCTGAAGGATTGGCTACTGCGAGCTGCGTTTCACAGGAACAAGCAGAAAACCCTGTACCCGAACCTGACAGATTTTCAGAAGATGCTGCTGGGAAGGGAAGTTTCTTGGAGGTGTCTTCAAAGCCAAACCCATTGCTTTTTCTCTGCAGCACAAATGAAGATGAAGACTAAAGGACCATGTAGGAACACGGTGTGACCCACGGGCACACAGCTCATCACTGTGATGAGATGTCCCAAGGCTGTCCTGAGCTGCAGAAAGATGTTTTTGAAAAGAATTTGTATGACTGTGTGTTAAACACCCTCCTAGTTAATTTTTTTCTCCTCTGATTCAACAGTCTGAGATTTGATGTGGGAATGTATAATTTCAATAAACTTGTAGAAGCAGTTGTCATTAAGCTTATTCAGTGGTAGAATGATGTCCTAGTCAAATACAACTGAAATGAGTTGTAGCATGATTTTAGTTATCTTTAGCTGTTGGGATTTACTTGAAAAACTCATGTTTCTATAAACTTGTTTGACACTGAACTACTATTTCTTAATTTTAAAATGCTTTATAGCTAACCACTTCAAAAATAATGGTTACAAGTTTAAAAGTCTAAATAGTTGATTGCAAATTATTTTTAAATATATATTTTCTAATTTTTGTATAAAATAAAGGCTGTGTCTTTGTCATCAGTACAAGAAAAAATGGTCATTTTATGTGTCCAAGGGATAGAAACTTATATTTCTGCAGTTCTTAACATAAGTTATTTCAGCAAACCTGGGCTCTCTGGTTCTGACTTTGCTGGTCTGGTGTGTAGCTTTGGCCAACTGACCTGCTCCTTTTTGTCCTTATAATATTAAAACAATTCAGTCACTTGATATATTTTGTGAACTAGTTTCTGTTGTTGAAATCAGATGGCTACTGCAAATTATCAGCTGCTATTTAATCTCTACAGAAGGATTTGGGAAGGAAAGAGAATTGAACATGGACCACCACATTTGGTTTCAGCAGGAGCACAAACCCGAGAGGAGCCTCCTGATTCACACCTCTGAAGGAGCAAGTTGTGATTACTATTCAACCTTCTTGCTATTAAAAAGTGTGTAAAAATCCCAAGCTTAAGGATTTACTCTTCACCAGTGCTGTTTCCTGCTGGAAAGCAGCAGGTGAGCTCTGTTCCTGTGCTGGCTCCTGTTCAGTGAGAGCTGCAGCCCTGATCTGCCACTATTTTTTATGCTCTTAAATACCTGCTGGTCGCTTAATCAGTCTCTGTGTTCTGTTCCCTGGGGGAGAAACCTTTCCCATCCTGTGTGTCAGGGAGCATTTACTCTTCTAAATGCCAGCAATAAAATCTGTGCTGGAGCTGCTGCTGTCTGAGAGGGGAAAAATGCACTTCAGTTGAAAAAAAAAAGCAAAGGTCCTCCTGCTTTCCCCAAATTACAGGTGTGAACTCTGGAACTTCCTGCAACTGAACAGGGGCTGGAGAAACTCTGTGCCTTGTTGCAAAACTGTGTCCTGGTCATGATAATGGATTTTGATTGTTGTATGTTGATTGATGGCAATTTTTTGTGACCTCTGTAGTGATGAGGTGGGAAATTTTTCCATGTTGGGTTTTTTCACATGTGGCTGCATTATCCAGCACAACTGGAGTGCTCAGGACGAGCAGTGCCAGTATGAAAAAGAAGCCCTGCTTCTCCCAAAAGAATGCACAGAGACACTTCTAAAAGAGAAGTGGAGCTCTAATGTTGTTTAGCCAGAATTAAGGCTCACTGAATCTGTGAACAACCAACACTTGGGAAAACAAACAAAAAAAACAAATCCCACCACTACCCCTGACCCCTCAATCCCATAAGCTCCTGTGGGATCTGAAAGAAGTGAGGGAATTCTGGTAAGGAGTCAGATTTATGGAAAGGAGCTATTTGGATGAATCCATAGGAATTGTTTTGCAAATCTTCCAGGCTGAAAATCAGCTGCTGTCTGAGGAACCCAATACATGTGTAGTCTGTTCAGTTGGCTTTAAAATTCTCCCTGTCTCTAGTGCCCTTCCCCACCCCGTGCACCCAGGCTGATTTGTAGCACAGCCAGTACTTGGTTTTAAGGCATTTGTTGCTCATCATCATAATCATCCCAAAAGGAACAGAACTGCAGTGTCTGTCCTGGAAATATGTTTGAATATGAGCTAAGCCTGAGGGAGGAATGCTGGGGCATTTTGCTGGAGGAGGGGAAAGCAGCTTGTCTGAGGTGTCTGGAGTGCTCTGGGGGAGAGATTAAACAGAGTTGGGTTGGAAATATAATTTGTTTATTGTTGTTAATCAGCGAAGCTTTTATCAGTGATTAGGGCAGCCAGACTGTTCTGTGTGTGGCAGAGCTCCCCTGGGGCCAGTGAAGGTGTCTGTGGGGAGATGGCTCCAGGTAACATCCTGACACTTGTCCATGGATCTCTCTGGGACAGCACCGACCTCCCTTCTTATCCAGAGCCAAGCAAAGGCAAGGTCCCAACCCCACATCCTCACAGAGCTGAGCTGTCCTTAGGGAAAGCTGGGGAATGATTGGCAGCAGCCTGAATTCCTGCCTGAGGCCCTGGCGGGGGTCTGTTCGCCATCCTGGAGCGCTGCTCCTGCCAAGGAGAGCAGGAGAGGGAACTGTGTGTGCTCTTGGTAGCACAAGTGCCAGTCCTGCTGCCCCGGGCTGCCCTGAGCCCTGGGAAATGGAAACAGAGACAAATCCGATGCTCTCAGGCTTTGGCTGCGCTGAGGGGGCAACATGAAGTGTGTGGGGAGGGAGGGAGGCTTTTGCATCCAGGAATTGGCTGGAAAAGGATGGAGATGCATTGTGTGAGGGAGGTGCTTGTTCACACGGAGCTTTAAGAATAAGGTGTTCAAAGCAACAAGTGAAATACTGGAAACAATCAGGAGATAAACAGAAGCGGGTTTTGGTCTTTTCTCCTTTTTCTTGATGGCGACAGCATGACTCAGAGGACATTGCCACCTTCTTTCCCCAAATTAAAAATCAGTGCTGAATCGACTAACAACCCTAACTACTCTGTGATTAAATTATTCCCCCTGCCCCCCCCAGCTTTCCTTAATTCCAAACAGTTTTCTGAAAAGCCTGTAAAGGCTTTGCTCTACGTCTAAAGAAGAAACCATCGATTAGACTTGATTTACTGCAATAAATGATAAATATGGCAAAGGAATTGATTCACAGCACTGAGTGAAGGGGCCGGGCAACCCTCTGCCACTGCCACAGCTGAGTGTTGTCACAGCCCGAGCCGATGGCTCAAGGCTGGAGAAAACAAACAGGGAAACACATGTCAAACAGATAAATTGCTCTGCTGTTTAGAGCTCTCCGTGGAGGCCATTTGTCTCCAAGATAAGGAAGAATGCACTCCAAAGCCGGGAGAAGATAAGGAGGGAGAAGAAAATGAATGTGGAGTTGCCGTGGTGGCACTTGGGTGTTGGCACAGGGAGAGAATGATGTCCCCCCACGTCTGCAGGGAGCAGGGGGAGCACCCAGGGAAACGTCCAGTGGGAACTTGCAGACTTTTCTTAAATATTTCAGGAGTGGACGGTATTTATACCTCTATAGCAGACAAACAAATGGTGTCATCTCAGTTGTCTGAGTCACTGGAGTGTTTTCTGAGCCTGTCGTGGGTCTGTCCCTCCCCTTTTTGGTGGTAAGTGGGCTGCAGCCTGTGGTTATGTGGGCATGTGTGAGCCGTGATTTCGCATTGACACAACAAATTTGGGTTTGTAGTATTGTGGTACCCATAAATCATGCCATGTTTTATATTCTTAGGTTTTTGGAGAAGTAACAGTCCCACTGTGACAAATGCTGCATTTGGAGACCTGACTGAGATCGGATCCAAAATGCTTTTGGTAATGTTGGTTTGCATTTCATTAACTGTTTTCCCATATTCACAAGCCACAAGACAATGAGCACAGTTGGTGGCATTTTGGAGGATGCTTGGGGACAAAAACAAGAGCTGTGTCCCTTAGGTGAGGACTAAGGTGTTGGCAGAGCTCCGTGAAGGAGGAAAGCTCCCAACAGCAGGTGATTTCTGTGGGAGAAGCTTCCTTTATAGTGATCAGCATGGAAAAGGGCAAAAAGTTTCAGGTTTAGAAACCAGCAAGGTCAGCAGGTGGTAATGTTACTCACCAGTGACCCCAGGAGCTTGATGGCCAGTCCATGTCTTTGGTGTTGATGTTCTGAGTGACTCTGGAAATCATTTTCCCTGCTTTCACAGAGGTACCCGGCCTAACTCAGGAAGGTTCAGACTTTGGAAAGGGGATACAAAAATACATTAAAAAGGATTAAAACTCAAATCTGACAGTGAAGACTTCCGTATCTGCAACTGACTTGTGCTAAGCAAGAGTGTAAGAGGCTAAAATCTTCCATTTCTGATGTATTCTCAAATACTTCTCTGTGTATCAGTATCTGAGTGTCTGACTCAAGGCTGTTGGTGTCTTGGGAGCTGCGGTGCTCACCCACACCAGCTGGAGTCACTGCTTCTCTAAACCCCTGAAAACCTGACAAACCTGGCCAAAATTAGGTCCCAGAAATTTCTGAAAAACAAAAGGATGTATCTCAAGGCTCAGCCTCTGTTCCACTGTGTATCGATACCTCCATAAACCTCTGAGCCCTCTGCCCAGGGGGGTCTGTGAGGCCTCAGCACCACTTTAACAAGACTCTGGTGGTTGTCTGGGAAAGGTTGTGTTCCCAGGCAATCCTGGGGGATAGCCTTGCTTCACATCCATAAACCAAGATTAAACCCACTGTGTGTATGTGGGACTGGTTCTAGCACTGGAAAGAGATCCCTGGCGTTTCCTCTTGGCAGGAAGGTCACCTTCCTTGAAGAGCCCAGGAATTAATAACTCTCTCATTCCTATCACTGATTTGGCTTGTACCCCTCTTTTCCATGCAGGACCCCCCTTCTGGTGTGTTACCCTGCTCCATGAGGTCCCCTTTCTGTTCACCTCTCCCCTCATCACCTCACCTGTTCACGGGGTGCTTGTCTGCAGCACACCTGCTCTTTATGTCAATATATTTTATATTATTTTATGTTTATATAATATTTTTTTTATTCTGCCACTCAGATTACGGTGAGACCTCACCCTGCCCTGCTTTCCATGGGGCAGGAGCTGCAAGGGATGAAGGAGAAGCAGAGGAGAGAAGCTGCTGAGCAGGGAGCACAGAGCCAGCACTGACCTTAAACAAAGCTGTGCCTGGGGAGCGACGGGAAGAGAAAGTTCAGCAGCCACTTTTGTCAGGAGGCAGCATCTGTGTGTGTGCTTGAGCCCAGCCATGCAGGCCTTGGCTCTCTGTGGAGGGCAGGACTGGCTGCTGCTGCTTGCAATGAGGGTTTTGCAACCTTCAGTTGTGCCTTGGGTCTGGAGTCAGTGGTGGGGTGAACGACTGTAAAC